GCGTAGCTGGTACACGCTTCACGGATCTTGCCGCGTGTATAGGCACTGATGGTGACACAGATGGTTGGGGCGAGATACATAAGAAAGTAGTCAAAGCGGCTTATGAAGTAATTGCCGGCAAAGGCTATACTAATTGGGCTATTGGACTCTCGGCAGCGTCTGTGGTTTCTATGATATTGGATAACAAAAACGAAGTGGCCACAATTGGCACGTTGGCTAAAGTAAGTTGTCGCTTTATGCGATGTAATATGTAGTAAAAAAGGCACGCCTCTTCTTTTGTTTCCAGGGCCATCAAGGCATCGAACAAGATATATTTCTTTCATTGCCGGCTGTGGTTGGTGCCAACGGTGTAACATCGCTAATAAACCTACAGTTGAGCGAAACGGAGCAAGACAATTTGTGCAAATCTGCTGAAACTTTGGACAAAGCGACAAGATCTATTGAAGTGAAAACTCCGGAGAAGAAGAAGAAAAAATAAGAGAGAGAGAGTTGTCGGCAGAAGCGCACTGCAAAAGGAATTAAAAATCAACAGTGTTAATTTTTAGCCAAAAATTTGTTAGAAAAGCGATACAAGTTTGATAAAAAGAGGTCGAAGTTACACTACTTAAATTATTGATATTTTACTTAACAGATCTGGGACGAATGAACTTTAAATGAGAAAATAGGAATCAATTTAGCTCTGTTTATTCATTCATCCATGCGCTCTATGACTCGAATGAAATTCAAAATATTTATAAAAGGTGATAAATATACGCAGTGACAGCTCATTTCGGCGCTTTCTTAGCTCAAGGTGGTATTTATTATAGGTCCAATCCCGTATTCCTCGGACTAAAACTAGCAAAACTGCCAAAAAACAAAAATTCGCACAGAGCGAGTGAGTAACACTGAAAAGTACGGGATCGTTTTCTAGTAAAAACTGATAACTTCGGAAAAATTCAACATAACCTCCAAACTTTTGGTTTATTTTTTTTATGTAAACACACTCAGCTCACGCATGTGAATAACCAAAAATACTTTCAAATTCATTAGAATCCACTTAAACAAGTAATTAATTAGTTTTCAACAAGAATTAGCAGAGTGCACTTTTCTTTTGTTTATAATTTGGTTTCCAAACACACTACAGCTGATCGTTTGACACATTTACCGGCACAAAATCTTCGGACTAAAAGTGGTAACATCTGACAGAGAGAGGACCTTATTTACTCTCTTGTTTTTCCTCTCGATAGTCAGAGAACCGAGTACGGGATCGATTTCAAGTAAAATCTGACTGTTTCTGACTAGTCCGGACTTGCAACTTATGTTAGAACGAACGCACGAGAGAAAACGGAAGAAAAGAAGGCCGTCTGGCGAAATAGTACTAAATTTAGTACTCATTTTCGTACCAAAATATTCAGTTAAAATTTGTGTAAAACTGAGATTTTTGAAAATTTGTGTATAAAAATATTTTTATATGCTTCTGTTCATGACTTGTTTCTAAACTCATACCTAGAGTTTGCTCCTTAATAACCTTGAGAAAGGTGTCCAAACTTCGATCAAAGTATATCAAAGAGATGGTGCCATGTGCACGGTTGCCAACTACCCTTAGCTATGAGGTGCTATGTTGAGGATTAAAAAGTGCTAAATAGAAAAATAAAGGTGCCATTCTTTTTAATCGAAAGCAAATTATGTATTTACTTCCTTCCATTCGGTAATAAAATAAGAACCACATTTCTAAATATAATGTACAATGCCAAAATAAGATAAACCAGTTGTATTAAGTATAAACTTTAAAAACTATAAAGTTTTAGTTGATGAAAAAGTAGTACGCGACAGGGATTTCACAAAAATGTATGTATGAACTACTACTATTTTTGGAAAGTGTCATTTTGGCAACCAGTGCTGCGTAGGTAGGTCTCAGAGCAAAGTGTAGTAGGTGACAACTTGCAAAGAAATTCGTTTTCCAACCATTTTCGAATTGTTACCCAAGCTCAACGCTTATTGGGCTGCACACAAGGCAAATTCATATAAGGTGGTGTTACCGGTGAAATTAGATTTCGTTGTGTTTGCTCCTACTGATTGTCAAAATTATGTGTTTGTTGTAAATTTGATTCCTTTTGATCAAGGCGAATTTAATAAGGTGGTGTTAACCGTATATAAGTAAAAACATTTCACGTCGAAAAATTCAGCTGTCGCCTTGCTTTTGATTGTCACTGTGCGTATAATTTGTTTTTGTAATTTTTTGTGATTTTTTCGCTGCCGCTAATGAATTCGTCTTTGGAGGAAAATAAACGTTTACATATCGAGGGCTTATATTCAATACGCTCTATCTGCTATTTTAACAAAAACTACTTTGTGATGTTAGAAGCAGTGTGAACAGGTCCCGCGAAAAAAATGCTAAAATCCATTATAAAAAATGCCAGAAAATGCTAAAAAATATTTTTAATGCAAAAAAAAATTCCAAATTTTGATTTCATTTTATTTCAACCGTTTTCACAGAGTCTCGTCACTTTGTTTAGCTTTATACATACATTCATACATATTCACGTATTTTAAAACTGCATATCAACGTCAGTATTTTAAGTAAAAAATACTTTTAAATACATATATACCTTTATATGTACTAATTAAAGATTGAAATCAATATCGTCGTTCTTATACAGTAACAAATTTGGTAAAATACCTATCATTACTATACATTTGGTTATCACATTTTGAAACAGATCATTTGATAATTCAAAATCTTCGCAACACTTATTGAGTTATTTTAGACCACATCGAATATATATGTAGAAGTGAGTTAATTGTATTTGCCTGCATTCTTTTCCTTAGCTTAGATTTTAACAAATTCATGGTATTAAACACGCGTTTTACTTCTGTATTAATGAAAATCAGTATTCAAAATTTCATTACACCACGCACCGCTTCACAGCGCCACCTAACTATTACTAGTTGCGTTCGATTGTTTATCACCCGGTTCTTGACTTAGCTCAATAGAATAACTCAATTTATATAAAATAGCTGTCGCCGCATTAGAGTGCCTTAACCCATTAACATACAGTTTATGGAGCGGAAGGAAACGCATGCCAGCCAGGGTTGCAAATTCGCAGGGTGCATTTGATGATTATTTTTTTTCGTCGTTATTCGAAAAAAAATTTGTTTGATGATGCATTTCCGAACGTTCTTTCTCCCATTAGATGGTGCGGGGTGGATTTTTTTTATTAAACACTAATAAAACCTGTCTTTAAAAAAGTATTTGTATTATTTACAAATATTGTCGTTGATGTGAACGCTCTGCATACTAGGTAATATCTGAATTCCGCTCTGGAGTAAATGCTAAGGAATTTTACAAAGCGAATAATTTCTGACAATATAGCTTCATACGATTTGCAAACCGTTAACTTATACCAACAAAAAAAAAATCCGCTGTAAAGGGTGATGGTGATAGTGGTATATGTATTGATATTTGTGTTGGCACTGGCATTGGTAATGGTGATTTTAATTTTAGTGGTAATGATATTGGTAACAGTAACAGTAATGGTGATCACGGCATTCATTTAAATTTTTCTGCGCCAACATGCATTCCTACAACCGCATACCATTGCAATAAGGAAGAAGGCATAAGTAAAAGCAAATTTCGCAATTACACTAAGAATTTTACTGAACTGAATAATATATATATGTACCTATATTTATATATGTAAATACACATATGTTTAAGCTGCTGCTTAAAGTAATTGCAACGACCACGCGCGCAATCCTTGTCCGCAGTTATTTATAAGTCGACGGACGACTTTCGGTCACTCCGAATCATGATGAAAACATAGCAAGGTATAACCGTTCTCTCAATTTGTCGGCCATGATTTTTTTTTGAAGTTTGCCAACATTTTAAAATCAAAAAAAAGTGAAAAAAAAAAAAAAAAATTGTTCGAAATTGTTGTTGCTTGAGATTGAAAATTAAAATGTGTGTGTGAGTTTGTGAGTAAATTTAAAAATTAAATTGTTTGGAAACGTCAAGAATTTTAAAAGCGACTCTCAGCGGTTCTACCTTACTATATTTTTATCATGCTCCGAATAGTTGGTAACTAAAGGGTTTTACAATAAGAGCGAATAGCTGGTGAAATGGAATAAAACCAGTTTTGTATGAGTTATTAGCGAATTTTTACCAGTTTTGTATGAGTTATTGCGCGAACCAAGGCGATCTGGTGTTGTGATGGCTGTTTGTTGTACGAACCGGTCGGTCTTCTTGACTTTGGCCACCAAACGTTGGCGAGTCGATTATGAAGGACCAAGTGGGAATGGGCCCAATGTGCGCAACGTTTTCACTAATTTAATCAAAAGACTGCTGAAAAGTCTGATTAAAAAGTTGAAAATTTAAACGCAGTTTGCAGAATTTTTATAAATTTGGCACAAAGTTTAAAATGGAATTTATATGTATGGGTTTTGTTAAATAATGAGCTATACTTGTATAAAAAAATAATGAATACTAAATAAAAAAACACATAAGCAAAATTTGTTAAAATGTCGCAACTCTATTTATTTTTCCACCACTGTATGTGTGCATATTTGGTTGTTTTCATGAAAATGTAAAGCGAAAATACAAGTAAATGTGTTCAAAAGACTATAACTTTAAAATCCGTATTCAGAATACGAAACGGTGGAGATAAGAACTGAAAAAATTATATAAAAAATTAAATTATATTATTGCTAGCTTAGAGTGAGAAGTTGCTAAGTCCCAATTTAAAAATTGCACAGGAGTGGAAAAAAACTTCTTATAGTCATTTTCTTCAAGTATTTCGCGAAACTTTGAATACATTTTGCTTGTATAAAGCAAAGCAAAACTCAATACTAATTAGTAGTATATATATTATATCTAGTAAAGTTCAAACGCACGCCACAAAAGAAAAAATGAAATGGCCCATTTCTCATTTTTCCCCGACTGTAGGTAATCATATTGATGCCAACATTTATCCGCGCCAATTGTAAAACCCTTTATAATTATCGAGCACACACTGCAGCAGCCTATCATCATCGCAGCAAATCCGCTTAAAGACAGTTCTGGTCCTCATGCCGGTCAACGCGCGCGCGTCCTGTCTTGTTGGAGTTTTCAGTTTGCAATCGAACAGCCAAAAGCCAGTTTTGTGAAACTAGAAAATTCTTACGCCGGTTGTGTATTTAAAAGCAAATTAATAAACTTATATAAACATTGTACATATCGAGCCCTAACCGCCAAGAAGATGTAAGCGAGATATTTTCAAAATTTTATTTTGGAAGCAGAAATGCATCTGGCTGCACTAGGAGCATTTTTTTTAATGTCGCTTACGTCTTTTTAAACGAAAAGCAATTCCTTTGGTTGGAAATTAAAGTGCAGCATAAGGTGAGTGCGAAAGGCAAGCAGCGGACTAACTAACATATACATTAGGGTGGTCCAAAATAAGTAAAGTCGAAATTTTCATGCTCTCAACCCGCTGAAAGTTTTTCATTTATTTTATATGGGAAACA